TCTCTTTGAGTTTCTTTTTTGCCTCTCAATAGCATATTATAAATGGTCTTTTTTTTTCTAAATATCAATTTATTGGTGGTAGTTTTATATGCGTTATGCGAAACATCTTTATTGGTTTTATAAGTTATTTCTCTTAATATAATTCTCAAATGTTATTCTGGTTAGTATTAATTCCTTACCTGAGTATATGCTTAGTCTTGATAATTATCTTCAATTATCCCTTTAGGAAAAAATCGCTGTTCCACAATCGATTTCCGTCGAAGAATTCCACTCTTCTAAACAACAAAGTGATGTTAGTTATGTCGATGTATTCATTGCATTAATCAAGCAGTTAACAGCTGTTTATACTACAAGCTTAACTTACTAACTACTTGTATCTTAAGGTTTCAGCTAAATTGTTTACCGTGTAATGGTGACAGGGTCATTGAATCTTTGTGATAAGCCACGTAGGTCAGTTCATCGCTTCAGTCACACTTTTTGTTCATCGCTTCAGTCACACTTTTTCTTTTGCACCTGCTCCTTTCTCCAAAATTTTTACTGAGAACTGGTTATAAGGGGTAATTTTTACAGTACGTCAATCAGCAACTAAACGTTCCGAGGGTAGAAAAGAAAAAAGATGCAACTACATACAAATCTTTCGATTCTGTTTTAAAGGTTACGTTATATTAATTTACAATCAAATTTGTTTGGCAAGAAATAATATTTGTACGAGCATATGAACCTTGTCCAAAATATACCCTGATGATTTCCCGAGATTTTGAAATGGATTTTCCATGCTAACAGCCGTAGGGGAAACATTAAGCAAAAAAACGATGCTATATGCAAAACTTACGATGTTACGATGGACTGTAACATTTATTGCACTCAGCTTAAGGATTTATGGTTTTAAGATTAGGAAGTTTTGGAGTAATTGTTTTGTTTGATTCCTAATTTTGAAGAATTATTTTAATTATTTTAACCCTATTGAAAATTTTAGATTGGTGATGAAGAATATGCGACTTCTACTGCCACACTGCGGTGTTTGTCACAGTCACAAGTTGTTTCGTCCAGTAAAGTATCACTTGAAGGGGTTCATTTTTCTCGAAAATGTTTTCTTTCATTAAGTTAAGTTTAAGCGGAACAAAAAGGATCTTTTTAAACAAAGCACATGTAGGTGCTGTTGATTTCAATTTACTTGCCGTTTCTGACACAAAGTAAATAAGAAAGTTGCTCTGACTTTAGCTTTTGTCTCTGAACAACCCTTTTTCAAAATAATATTAATATGATGATGGATTCAGGCACGTTCACATCATTTAATACAAGTAGATCCTGCTTCTACTGCGCCAGGCACAAATTACCATGTAAGCAAATTACCTCTGGGTGTTTCGCTGTCAACAGATCATTTAAATGTATCTGCAACACGAACCACCTATAGGCACATTCCTGATTCCATGTTACAGGTATTTTATTGTGTTTTATTTTTGTACATGCAAAGGATAATACATGTGATTGCTTGTTCATAGGGGAAATTTTCCGTATATCTGTTATAATTTCCATTCTTTATAGTTTTTTAAAATGTTGTTTACTTTCATAGAACGACGTCACAGGATTAGCAGAAGCTGTTAATCATAGTAGTCGAAATGATTGTTGTTATGGAAAATCAACATCGGAAAAGGTTGGGTTGATTTACAACTTAAAATTCTTTTCATTCGTTGCTCAATCGGTCTATCAAAGGAAGGAAATTGCCGGAGTTGACTAAAATGCTTCTATTTTGGGAAGAATTCACGGCTTCATGGTTCAGATAATATTATGATAAAATTTTGAGATTTTTGTTTCCATTTCTTCTTTTAATTTTGTGCTGCGAAAATTTTTTGACCTATTTCATTAGATGATGAGAAATACTTCTGCAACAAGCAAAACAAAACTTCGAATTATGAAAACCTTATTTTTTCAGAGTTCTCCTCTTCTGGAGAATAAGCAACTGCTGAAACACCAGCATTCCATGCTAGCAGGACTCAAAATTCCTTCAACTAATGCTGAAATGAAAGTTGAGACTAGGATGATGCAGCTTTCTAACTTATCTGCCAAGACTGCTGCGATATCAGCCGGTGACAAAGGAGCGGAGAAGACGATCATTGAGATCCGTCGACCGTTATCGTATCCGGAAAGTAATAATAAACAAATGAATGCTCGGAAAGTAAATATTATAATCTATGTAAAAAAGCATATTGGATAAAGGGAATGTTCCTTACGATAAGCGAAATTGCATTAGAGATATTCTTCATTCTAGCTTATTTAATCAACTTTCTATACTTTTGACAGAGCTTTGTCTGTATGTCCCACGCATATTTTTTCAAGAATCCTAAATGCTTTTCAGTTTTTACTTCTATATAAATCAAATTTTCTAGGCTGTTACTGTATCCCGTGGGGGTTCATCACCACCTCAACCAGCACAATTATTCTCACGGCATAATGCTGTTTTTGCTGCAAAAGCTGTTGATCATGCTCGATGGCAGGAACAAAATCAAAATATAATTAAGGATCAGGTAATCCAAATTTCACAATGGTTTCTTTATATTTAATTGCTACTGCTGGTAATTACAGAATCAGAACCGAAAGCGATTAATTACGGAACGAAATCAAGAACAAAATAAAGTTTTTCTGAAGAACATAATTGAACAGAAAAAGGATATTGCAATAGACCAAAATGGTGCTCTTCCAGGACATCGCCAATTTACGCCTACAACAAGTAACAGGAGAAAGGAAACGCAGTTGGTAAAAACTATGCTTACTATTTCTTTTTATTTGGTCATATCAATGAATATTTTTATCGATTTTGAAAATTATGTTGAGTTCTCTTGTCGTTCATTGCCCTCATAAGATCGTGTTTCGATAAATTATTAATGCTGAGGAGGTAAATGAAATCAAGAACAAAACAAAGTGATTCTGAAGAACATAACAGCAAAAAAACGGTAATCTGTGATCGCATTCTAGAGACATTAACTCACTCCACTCTATCAGTATTGATGATTTTGAAATGAGCAGGAACGAGGTCGCTTTCTTATGATTATTTCTTCGATACTCTAACGTAACATTTAAATGATAGTAAAGATAATGACGCAACAAACAACTCATTATAGGATCACGAATATGATTATTTTGGAACAGCATCATCAAGTTCTTCAAATTCTAGTAAACATTTTCAAAGACACAATTATGACGGCAAATCTGATGAGGTAAATAATTTCATTTTTTCGTTTTTCCATTTGTAAATATATGTTTGTGCTGAAGATTTTGCTGGAATATTATAAATGAAATATCGGCAAGTCTATCACCTAGCTTCATGTTTAATACTTCTGCTTATGTGTTTATTTTGCAAGATTATGAATCCTGCCAACAATTATCTATATTTGAAAAAATCCAAATTGATTGCTTGATTTTTAATAAAAGTAATTGTCTCTATTAGATTTGAAAATTGAATTTGTCATTATTGGATTTTTTTTCTTTTTGCAGCGGGACAGTTCTAGTTTCCTGGCAGCCATGACTACCAATGATGGTATAACATCGGCTGACACTATGGTATCTGAATCAATAATACCAATTCCTCGGGCCATATCAACTATTCCACCTCCGGAACCGCCGGTGGATTATTATGAGAATAATATAAGTGACAATACCGGTGGTAAGAAATTAAACTCACAGCAGAAACTGTCAGCCATCAAAAAATCAGTAGGAAATGGCACCAAAGTATGTTCATTTTGCTGACTAGCTTCTTTTTTGTTACTTTTCTTTTTTCTTTTCTCCTTTTTTTCTTTTTTTGAAACGAGAGCGAATCATAGATATGAACCATAGTCGTGACGTGATCAGAAAGTTAAATCGAAATTCGTGTTGGTGAATCATCACTGTTCATGATAAAAAGTGGAATAAGCAATCGGTTGTTGCAACGATTTGGCTCTCACCTCACCTCATAAATAGTTATTTTTCATTATGAGAATGGTAGGATTCAGAAATACTCATTCCACTTTGGTTCCATAATCACGCAACATTTCATGGTTCGTTACCGGTCTAAGAAGAAGACGATTGATATGGAATTTGTTATCACTATTCGGTTTAATCGCTTGTAATCATTTGTTTAGAGAGATCCACTTTCTAAGAAAGAGAACAATGAATTTTCAAGCTAAAGGAACCTAGGACCATCATCTCTATATTTTGCTTCAGGTTCCAAACACTGGTTCATCAATCGTTGGATCACGACGCTCACCGCATCGCCAAACTGTAACAAAGAAAACTCGAGTATACGTTGTCGATGGTGTCCAAATGACATCAACATCGCATCAAGTATTTGGAGTAAAACAGGATTATGAGTTGAGGTTGAATTTTAAATTTTTGAAGTTCAAGTTCCTGTTTTCAATTTCACAGCGACATATGTCGCATTTTACGATACATTTTTTTTTTATTCCGTAGAACTGACGTTTAGATGTTTGCTGTTGCAAGAATTTTAAATTTGCATATTTAAACAGGTTTTGCATAATTTTGGTAAACTGAGCAATTACAATTTGGTTTTCATATGAGAGATAGTAGAACATTACAAGAAATTTTGAATACTTGCAGATGCTTGTCGTTTCACTTCTTTACCAAAAAACAAGATGCTTTTTTTTTTATATTAAGAAATTAGGTGAAAATCTGTTATTCATTTGTTATCCGGATTTCTTAATCACATTTTGAATTTGAAAAATTTTGTAGTCTCATCCCACGTTATTATATATCGCTCTATGGTGATTGGTCAGTTTTCCAGTTTATGTTCTTACTTTCATCAAATTTTCCGCCTGTATTTTTAATAGTTGTTGTGCTCGTTGTTGATACCCGCCGTCGTGTTCGTCTTTTTGCATGTATGTGAGGGTGCATTCTTGTGCGCATGTCTTCATGTTCATGTTATTAGCTTTTGATCATATTGCTTTAGTTTGAAATGGAATGTATCAGTCTTCTGTCACGCCAAATTTTCCAATTGTGGTCTTGAAAATGAGGGATAGAGAGTTTAAAAAAGAAATAAATGAAAGTTTTTAGTATTTGAGACACTTGTGCGACGCATTTATTTACTTCTTTTCACCAAGAAGTATATGATCAATCATATAATTCAAAAATGATCTCTAAAAGAATAGCTCTGATGCACTGGGAAGTCACTTACGATTGGCGTCGCTATCTCTGAGAGGTCATGACAAGATGTTTAGGGTTATTTTTTTGATAACTTGATTTCTATTGTTAAATGTTCTCGACTGTGAAATTGTGGTATTTTTTTTTATTCATTCGTTTAATTACATTATTTTCACTTTATTTTTTTTAGGAAACAGCAGTTGCATGAGCTACGTCGTCTACAGCGTGAAGAAACGCGTCAACAGCGTGAATTGAATGGAAAAGCCGAAGCATTGCGCAACGAACAAATAAAACGTTTTGCTGCCGATAAAGAAGTAAGTGATTTGTTCGATTTTGTATTAATATGAATAATTGTGTGGTTGTTAATTCCATGTGTAAATTGCCATAAGTGTTTATAATGATAGAGGAAATGAGATAAAACAGGATAAATTATAACTTATTGGAAAAACTATTTCCTCACATGAGATTTATTCGATGTACCTGTCTGTAGTCAGATTTTAGTAGTTATCTTGGTTTCTTCAGAATATCTACAAGAAGACAGACAATGAGTTGCAAATATTGGCCAGAACGCAAAAGAGACAATTAAAAGAGTGTGAAGAAATACACAATGAGGATATGAAGCAGTCATTGAAGAGAATGCAGAGTGATCAGGTTGGTGTCAGCCGTTTTTATACTTACTGTTACTTTTAGTTATATAAGCGAATTCTTAGGAATACTTTTGCTTAGACATACACTGATCTTTGGAGGGTTCATTAACATGATATTACTATATGGGATACCTTTATCAAAGAAGTGTCAGCAGAAATTCAAGTATCGATCTGCTTCATCACTTATTATTAAATGCTTTGTAACGATGGTGTAGCAATACGCAAGGCAAGACTGTACTGTAGGTTTTTGAAAAATCTGTTGATAGTATTTAAAACCTCTGACGGTTTAAACGACTTTAGCGATTGTTTAAACTATCAGTGGTTTCAAGTTATTACTGCACTTTAGGAACGTGAATTACGTATATTTCGCGAACATCTGAAACAGGAACAACGCGATCTGAAACTGGAAATGGACGCAGTCCCAAAAACTCAACGTAAAGATTGCTATCGTGTGCGGAAGGAACAGTTGGATAGCGACCAGCAAAAGAGGGTTAGCATTAGTGCCAGCTGTTATATAAATACTTGTTGCACAAATAACAGTGTGTTATTTTCGAGAACCGTAAAAGCATATTATCTTTCAGGAGACGAACTTTATTGCTGAACAGCAATCCGAACAAGCGGCACGAATGGCTCGTATTCAGCTGGATCATAAAATGAAAATTTTACAAATTGAAAAGAATTTCCAGCAACAGAAGCATGCAATCTTGAGGTTATACATATTTTCACCTGTTATTGAGTGATGCAAATAAGTTTAGTCTTTGATTGGGCTGAATTTTGCTTTCTGTTCTTTTTTACTTAATATGCTTTTCTTTGATACATAGTTTGGAAAAACTCGCTCTGTTGGAAATTTTACTGCAGTGTGTAGTAGGACTGTAAAATCTTTTTATTTTTAGTTATACTTTATCAAATGTCACGTTTGCTAGAAATTTTTTACCCAGCAATAGTTTACTTTTTTCAGAATCCACTGATTACTTTGTTTTCAGATCACGTGAAGCTTCGGAGTGGGATCTTGAAGAAAAGCAACTGGCTGAACGACATCATCTCAACAAGCAGGAGTTAAAAGATCGCTTTTATCTACAAAGAACTCAAATGCTTGCTCGGCATCAAAGAGTGAGTCGGTGCTTAACACATAATAATAAACTTTTATATGATTCAAACATTTATTGTCATCAATAATTGCTATTCTCCGATACTGCAGGAGTTGGATCATATGCGCCGTGTAAATGAAATGGATGAAGAGGAGCAAATACGTTTGTATGCTAATTTCAAAAAACGTTTACCTAAAGATTTCCGTACCGAATCCAAAACTCGAATTGCTATGTTCAAAGAGAGTCTGCGTATTTCTTGTCAGGTAGCAAATGTTTAAGTTGACTTCTGTAAAAATAGAGTATCGTTTGTTTGACTTCCTTATCTAGGTTTAAATCTTGTCTCCCTTCAGAAGAATGATCCTGCAACGCTTAATGAGAAAATACGAGCTTTTGAAGAGAAAGAAAAGCAGCGTGTACGAAATGCTTTGGAAGAGCATGACACTAAATACGCTCGAAAACTGAGAGAACTGAAGGAGAAAAATGCAACAGCTATACGCGAACTAGAAGAGATTCATGTTAGTTCACTTTTTTTCTAAATGAACTTTTTTATCATAATTGTTTTTCTCAGGCTGAATTTTTTGAATATCTTTGTGCTGTGTTCTTCTTAGTGCGATATCGAAAAGCACTGTTCGAAAAGTACGCAAAAAAATAAATAAATAAATAAAAACGATTTGCGATTATGAGCAAGTTATGAATACAGTATTTTAATCTTTTTAGCTTTGTAACAAGAATCCAATACGTACTGTGGTTTCATCTCACTGAAGTCAAAAATATCACTATTTACACATTCATTATTTATTTGTTTAGAGTGAGAAACGTAAAATGCTGTTGGAAGCAGAGGAAAACAAAATGGAAATGTACGAGAAAGAATATGAACAAGTGATAGCTGACTGGAAAGCTGGCTTACCTATTAGAAAACAGGTGTCATACTTTTTTCAGTGTTTTTCATTGTAAATGTTTTTCATTTTTTTTTGAATACTAGTATAGATATGCACGAAAATTTCAGTTTTGTCGATCAATAAAAAATTTGACATCTTGCGTTACGAAGTCTTTTGCTCGATAATATTGCTAACAACGGTTTTAAATTCGAGACATTTAGACTAATGATCTTCCATGATTTAGAAGGCTCTGCTATTTTAGTTAGGTTCGCTGATGAGCACAACTTAATGCTGCAGGTTTATCCACTTAATTGCAGGCACTAGAAGCAGAATTTGCTCGTGAGCTCGATGAAGTAGAAGCATTCTACAGAAAGGAGAATGCGCAGTTACAGCAGTTGTCCACAGCAATTTCTCCAACTAGTTCCATATCTAGTAAGGCATTTTTACAATGTCTTAAGACATCTTTATGGTTGAAGTTTTTTTAGATTGCAATTCTTATAATCTATTTTAATGATTTTCTGTGTTTTTGCAGTATCTTGGACTTGGACAAAATGAACAGGTCATTTTTTTAGGCAGACAAGAAATAATTGTTGGACCACTTACGGCTACAGTAATCGGTAATTCGGTTCTTTGAAGAGGGTAGCGCAACAGTCTATATAGTGTGTATTACTGTTATGTTTTGGAAATTTCCTGCAAATTATTTATGATCTGTTTATAATTACTGGAAAGTGCCTGATTACATTTATGTAGCGATATTCATTTATATGTTTAGATGCGTTTAACTAATCAATTCATACATGAGCTTAACTTCATTTCGCTCAGGAAGTGTCAGGAATAAATGAACTGAAGGGTTTGTTAAGTCGATTTGAATATATGGTTGATTTTCTCATATAAAATATAGAATCGGATGGAATAATGTCATTACGCTTGTACATTTTTTCTCTAATCATATTTTCTCTTCTCGTTCGTTGCATTCTTATTTGCAAGTAAGTGATTTGGATAGTGTTAAGCTCATGTTCAACTGTTGATCTTTAAAGGTTCTTTGTTGCTCAAGAGAAATAAATTGCAGACGTTTGTTTCACTAGGCAACCTTTTTGATATATAATGAAACTTGTAATTTTAATAAACAAGTGAGATGGACAGCATATCATGTACAAGTGTCTTTGTTCACTTAGATGAACGTGCATATTAACGAATGTTGGTAAAAGTTTAACTATTGAGAAAGAAAAGGTAGATAGGATGTTTTCGAGATTATACGGTTTATAAATCGTTTCCTCCTTCGTTTTTTCCCTTTGTCTTTTACATATTATATTTTATTAAAAATTCATGCGATATTGTTGTTATAAATGCTGGGAGAAACTCTGTGATGACTTGACATTTTCTTTTTCTGATAAGCTTTATCAAAAATGGTAATTGTTTTGTCGAGATCTTCTTGCAGGACACCAAATATATTGTGTTTAAATAAATGTTCCTGTTCATGTTGCACAAAGGTCAGCAATCAGTTCACATTTTGGTTAATGTATTTCCGAAATGAATGGATAAATTTCGGCTGCCATCAAGTTTCGAGATAAGGTAGGGAAGAAGATAGCTGGGTAAGGGGTAAAAGATATATTAAGTTGCTATGAGAATAAGATAAGGGATGTGATAAGTGGGTAAAAGGTATGTTAAAAATTATTCTCGAACTTTATTAATGATTAAATTTATTACTTCGGGATGGTTTGTTGGATAGATTTTGGACTTCTTAATTTCATGCTTCTTGTTTGCCTCTATACATCTGTAAGAATGTTGCTGTAGGTTACGCTAGATTTTGATATAGCAAAGATATTGCTATAATTCACATAAGATTTTGACGTAATGGTAGAATTGCTAGGTAGGGTACTAGACATTGCAAAGGTTATTTGTGTTTGCAATAGATCTTGACACAGGAAAGAGTAAGGGTCAAATATTTAAAAATCAGTAACGATATTGCCGGAATAGACAGGTTAAATATTACCCGTAACAGTATATCATTGTTGTAGGGTTCTTTTCTTTTTCTTTTTTTTTATTTATGGTGATTATTTACTTTTCCATTATAATCGAAAAGTAAATAATAATCATCACATACCTAGTAATCAGATATCATGGAATAATTAAAGTGTTGAATAATCTATGAAATGAAATTGTTAAGATATAAATAGTAATTTGATTATTATTAAGGTATGCTGTGATGCTATCAACGTGTGATCTTCTCCCAGGACCTTCACACGAGAATGAAGATGAAAGCAATCTTTGGCAATCAACAGATAGTACCACATTGTCGCATAATACCGCATGGCGCAGTACTTCTTCTGCTGCTAATGCTATGTTCCTTTTTCTTTTTTTCTTTTCCTTTTTCCTCTACTATTGTAATAGTGCATCACTTTACAGTTTATACCGAAAAAATATTTTAAAGAAAACACTTTATTCGAATTCAGTCTGTTTGTGTGAAGTAGTTTGTATTTGTATAGATGTGGAAGAAATGAACTAAAACTAAAAGAATCAATTAATTTGATTACATTTATTTATATTTAAATTCGAATGAAAAAATGATTCATTTCCATTAATGGTCTTTTGACGAACATTGAAGGAAAAGTATCAGTGTTTTTACACGAAAATTACTGAATTTATTAGTTATCAGTTTTTTAAATTGATAAAATTGTTGCCTGCTTTTTTTTTCCGAAATTACACTACTCAATAAAATACGATAGAAAAATGGAAATATAATAATTAGTTAAAATATCCATACACACATATACATATTGTACTATAGATTGGAATATATTCTGATGGCACCAACTTCGGCTGCAATACCATTACATGAACAACCGGTAACATTTCTTAACCAGAATCGATCATATGAAATTAAATGTCGTAAATGTGCATTTGAACCATGTTCTGATGGACAAGAGTCATATTACAAGGTAAGCTAAAACATTTAGGTTACTAATTTTCAAAATTATAATTATCTATTGTTGCTCGTTTTCTTCATCTCTTTGCGATCTACCTGCAATCTGATTAACCTTTTCGATGTAACTTTTAGCTTTTAAATTAACAAGCATGAAAAATTTCATCCATCTTCATATGTGTTAGAAACTTATTCTGTTCATTCGCATTTTGTTTACAAAAGCTTTCTTCCTCCTTTCTCCAAAAGAGAAGTAAAGTTCTTTTGTGCTTAATGCATTTCTTAGGATTATGAACTCATTTCGGCTATATCTAGACAGTGATAACCATTTGTTTCGACAACCAGAAGTTGCGTTATCAGATGAATGATTTAATGGAAATATGGAAGACGAAAAATCCAGGAAAACGCTTCTTCACGCTAGGCGAGTTAACCCGAATATTGTTTAGAACAAAATCAGTATATTCAAGACTCAAATAGTATCTTACTGTCTATCCTGAACAGCGAGAATAGAATTCTTTAAATAAGTTTAGATCAAATTTTAATTGTTATTTAGATATGCCGCGCTGTTCAAATGTATCACACGTTAAATATGCATTACGTTCAGCTGAATTTGTTTGGGATGGTTCGCTACCGAATGCTGCTTTATTTATCAAATTTTTCGTTTTAAGCTCCGATTTTGTCGGTAAAATATTCGACCAATTAACTTTCCCTTGATGTTATGCTGTTTAGTAGCGGAAAACGTTTGGTTTTCGTAAGACCGTAGGAATGATTAATTTTCCTTAGACAGAAGTCACTGTGATTGTTTATGCATCGATAACTTAGCCGTAGGATGAATAACAAAAAGCCTTTTTTGAAGTACAATGCGTAACCGTTTTTATGACGAGCATTTAGGTTATTTTAAAAAAAGCATTTTTTTTTAATTATCTAAAAGGTTACTGTAGATTGGATTACTAGGTAACATTGACATTTTGACTAAATTCATTTTATTTTCGTCGTTGGCAATACATATGGTCATTGTGCAAGATTTCTCGTTTATCTTCTCCGTTTTGTCAATTTGTCCCATACATCATAGATAAACCGAAGACTTTCTTAATTAAAAAATAAATAGTTTAACAAAAAATTGCTTCAAACTAAATGAATGTAGGACTTGACCGACTTATCCTAGTTCTCTTTTTATTTAAATTTAAAATGTGCGAGTTAGGTAATGGGTTGCAGATAGCTGCGGTGAGAAAGGAGAACCATTTCGGCTCGTTTTCCAAACTTATTCTTGGAGATCATCCGAACTTTTGCAGCAAAATAGTTCGCTAATTCAAATTTTCAAGGTTAATATTTGTAGATGATAAATATCCCCAAAATATATGCTGCTGAAGTGAATTGAATTTAGCATATTTTTTCCTCTTATAGCTTCGTGGTGCGGAAAGGAAGAGAAGAACAGAGCGGAAGAAAGCAACACTACATGCGAATCAGGTAGATGCTCTCTGCCTTATTCTATTCTCATTTTGTTGAGGATAAGTGAATGAAATTAGTGAAAGCGATAGTTAATAGTTTACTTTTGTCTGAGAAGGATACGTTGGAATTTTCAGAAGAATTATAGTGCAGTGGAACAGATTAAATTTAGACTAGTCAAGTAAGTAGATGTTATTGCTGAAGTATGTTTTCAAGAATTCCTTCGGAGTATGCTGCCTATATATGCCGAGACTGGATGTAACGTGTGAAGGGCGGTAAGCGAATCTTTAAAGCCTTTTAAAGCATATCAATTTTTCAAGCACTGCACTAATTTGCAGGAACAATATCAACCATCATATGATTATACTTTCTTGTTGGGTGCAGATTTCGACTATGATGTAGATAATGAAGAAAGAGTAACTCCTACCGAAGAAATCGATTACATCGGAACATCATTGGGAAGGAGTAGACTTCTACGTATTCCAGCTAAATTAGATGATACGGAACAAACGATGGCGAAAAGGCATTGTAACTTACTGGTAGATAGTAATTATTCACGAGAAAACTCAGTAATTGAAGCAGATATGAATGAAGTGCGTATTTGTGCTAACCATTCGGCAGCTTTTGTTACGAAATGGCTGGAATTGCACCGTTTTACCAACTGCGTTCATATTTTTGACAATTACAGTGGTTTGGTTTTTAATTTTGAATAATTGCTTCCTTCATATTCACTATTTGTTTTAAAATACTTCATAATTTGCAGTTCTCCAAAACTAGGTGTTTTTGGAAGTATGATTTGCTTCCTTGGAGAAAGGAACTGTGCAAAATTGTACTAGATGTAATCTTTATATCTAATATTGCGAACTCAATTTGGGCATCAATATTTGATCTAAATGTCTTCAAACTTCCAACGTTCCAGATTTAAAAGTACTTTCGTCTTGAAGACATAAACCTTCATAATTTTGATTTATTTTATCGAGTTTCTCAAACCAAGTAATTTAGTAAAAACTAACACCTTGGATTTTAAATGACAGTATATTGTAGGAGAAGATATTCTTCGGCTGAGCATACTCGATTTGACCTCTTTGATTGGCGATAAACCGGAAGCTTTACGTTTATTCCAGGCGTTACGTAAAAAGTGATTACTTTTTTAATGATTAAATAGTTACAGTTTTGTTTGCTTTTGCCCCATTGATCGACTCATTTCGCTAGTTTATTTTTCATTCTTCGAAGGTCATACTGCTTTAAAAAAAAAATGGATGCTTTCTAATCTATTTTCACTTATGATATTTTATGCAAAACTTGAAATGCATATTTAGAGCGCTTGAACCACAGTTAACTATTTTTGTGGCAATAGAAGGAAGTAACATATACAACATGATAAGATTGTACGATGGGACTATGGATGAGTTGAAGGAGAAAATGGGAAAAATGGTCGGTATTGTAGTGAGACAAATATTCGTTCGCGGACCGCTTGATATTCTGGTCCGCGTTACTGATCAGGTTATACATCGTTATTTTCAATTAAGGAAGAATGATGGAAGGTTTCAGGATGCTGTTTCTGTTTTTGGATTGGGAAAAGTTAGAATTTGAAATTTAATTTGTGTTGCTGTTGTGGCAAATATGACGAAGCTATTTCTTATTTTCAGGTTATTGAAAGTTGGAAAAATGAATCGGTATTTCGAATATTGCGAAGAGATAATGAATGCACGTTAGTAGCAGAATCGTGAAATTTCATTGATAAATGATCTTAACACTTACAAGGCAGTACATTAATTGCTGTAATCATTATTATTTTGATATAATCATGTGAATTCCTGCTTGTTATGTTATATATTTATTGGTTGTTTGTTAAGTCAGATATTTTTTATTACATTTAATCAACAACAATAAAATGTGCGTACAAGTCTTTTTAACATTCCTAAATAGCATGCAGAAGCTAAATGCTTTGACCCGTTTGATCAAAACATTGACGACTTTGAATACGAAAAGTAGTAGGCCTACTATTGCTTATTCATTTTTTTCTTCTAAAATTCCTCGTAAAATTATGACATGATTTTCTTCATTTAATCCAAGAAATCTTGATGATATATTTTGTGCAATTATCATATTAAATTTACTGAGGCCTATTCTAGCCTATCCTATTTACCACATATGACTGTATTTAACAGCATGCTTGAAATCCTTAATAACGGAGTGCCGAATTATATTTTGATTGTTTAAAAAATAAAAATAAATTACGCTGACTGACATCGACATTAAATAACATCAATAAATGCAGTAGCTTATAATAAAAATAAGATTTGAACGTTAAAAAAAACGACATCACATCTTTTCAAATGCGTCGAAATTGATAAATTCAATTAAATTTCGAAAGAATTTGAAATTCGGGACGAAAATTAGAGGGAAAAAAGGAAAACAAAGAGATGAACCGCTTTAATATGATGCTGACATTATCGTCTATTAAACTGAACTGATCCAGTGAATAATAATTAGCTCATGGAAACTAACTGATTGCTATTACTAATATCACTTGCGCTTCCAAAACATTTTTAGCAACTATAACTTACCTGACAAATACATAGTTAATTGTTTGCCTCGGATTATCCACAGACATTTAACCTTTGCAGAAAATATCTCGTATAGTATCTAGATTCCTTTAGATCCTTTAGGTTAATTACTACTATAATGAATATTTTTTCACAAGTAATTACTCTAATGACAAAATATTAATTGTTAATTACTCTAATGACAAAGTATTAACTTTTCGCAAGCATTAATTACTCTAATAAATATCTTTTCAAATAAATGCATGAATTATATCTGTTGTGATTCTGTTTACATGATTTTTATCAGTTCTAAATATGACAATTTATAATATTCGACGATAAATTTTGTAAGCATTATATAAAGATAATAGCAAAAACAGTAATAATTGCAGTAACAACAATATATATATGTAAAAAATAATAATTGATATAAGACTTTAGCCTTTATTAGGTATAATGTTGAAAAGGCAATTCAAAGTAAATATTTCTCTTATCAGGAAATAGAGGAATTAACAACGGAGAAGCTTATCAGTATTCCATATCAGTTACATTTTTAGAATTTTCTCAAAAAACGGTAAGATTACTTTTAAAATCTCTACATTTTTATCAGAAAAACTGGATAATAATGTTTGACTTCTAAAATTATTCCTATCTCTGATCTCGTTATTTCCAATCACTACTGTACCGATTATGGAAATTGAAATCATGAAATGAATTGAAACTTAATTTTTCGGAAGCTTAAAAATTCAATCGGAAATGTCAATTGCATCTTCATACAGGAAAAATCCCATTGGAAGATTTTTTCATTTCAACTTTTGAAAGATTGCTCTTGGAATATATGACCACAGACAAATCGAGTGGAAGTAATGCAAATACTTTGAAACGAAAGTTTCTAATTAGAAATTTAAAAAAAAATGGCTAAGAAACGTCCACTAGTCCGAAATAATGAAGCATATGAGGGAAGATCAAAATAGAATGCGTCACTCTTCATCTCATTGCAACAACATTCATCTTGACCATTACATCTTATTTCAATATTTATTCCTTTGTTGGACCAATATCTTTATTGACCTTCATTTGAGGTCTAACAAATCAAAAATGAATAAAACATAAATACAAAGTGAAAAAGCTGCCAAAGATGATCACAGTGTAAAAATTAAAGCATGAATGGATGACCCGATAATAAGTAATCATAAAAATATCTTAAACATAGATAAATTTGGCTCCTACTCCTATCATTTATACGGCAGTATATGCAGAGTTAAAAAAGAGCTGTGAGATTAGTAACACCACTTATAAAATACTACAATAATCTTGACATTATGAATACGCCGTTGGATGCCAAATAAAACATTCAGATTCTTTGTTCTGCATTTCCGTCACGCTTTATGACGTAATCAATGATGTCATACAAGATCTCGTTATGCTCGAGTTCAAAAACTAATAAACAACAGCAAATAATCTCGGAGTGCTTTAAATTTGCAAGGAAGATATCTCGTTTTGCTCCGAAGCAACTGCTTTCTTCCACGCTCATTTCCCTGTACGGTCGGATTATTCAGGAAAGCCAGAAACTAAACAGTCCAATCATATGTAGTACTCAAATTTTAACAGTGAAAAGCACAGTAATTCATAGCGTGTGCGTATGATAACAAATGAACTAATTAAATGTCTACAGTGTCAATTTGTTTGAACGGTTTACTGGGAATGATCTTAAAATCTGCCTCCCAGCCAGGATATTTCTATATAATAGTAGAATTATATATATATATATATATATGAAATGGTAATAACAATGTGATAAAGGAATGTACATTGGGCATGTGAAAATAAAACAAGAAAAAGTGATAAATCAGCTGGCGATTCCCTGCGCAAAAGTGCCCGAGGGAGGCCGAAACTCCTTGGGTATAAAATTCATCTGGAAAGGTGAGAACGAATACAATGCTTTTCCAATGTTTTTACGGCAATTTTCACGTCGTACACCCTCTCTGCGCAGGCAAACAATCATTTCTCCCATCTGAAAACAGGAAAAAGATTTTGCAGCATTGAATTTACAGTAAGAATGGAAAATTTGCAAATTTCCTTAAAAATGGATGACATTGAATATAATTACCTGTTCAGCAGTGACTCCACAATTCTCACGTATGATTCGCCCCTCTTCATAAGTAATCGCCATCGAGGTACGGTCCTTTCCACTTTTGCAACAGAGTACTGGGATTCCATGAAGCGCAGTGTTCGCAGCCATCACTAATCGAAAAATCGATATATTCTTGTTGGTCGGATTTGCCTCTACCTATAACTGACAGGCCCGGAGTTAAGAGGGAGGTTACAACTGCGAAGAAAATTGATAGTACAACCTAGAGATCCACTCAAGAATAGAAACCAAATAGTGAAAGAAGCATTTTACAGTGGCGGTAAGTTCGGCAACAAGCTCCTCAGCAGTGTGCGATACATCCTTCAGAACCGAAACATAGGAGGTCAATGCTTTAACAGCAGCTAGATTTATGGACTGCTCCAACGAGCTATCACCAGCGATTGATTGAGAGAATGTGGCTTCATGATTGATGCCCAGATTCCAGAACACTGCATTCACGCTGAATGTGCAGCCCGATTGAAGAGGTCCCGGCAAACTCTGAACAACTATTATATACGGCTGAGAGAAATGTAAAAAGTTTCTTGAAATTTCGATTCATCTAAATTATAAAAATTCAACTATAAAAATATGTACAAGATATAGTTTTGGTAGAAAGTAAAGACCTGGTACACACTATGCGGCAAAGGCACTTGGACGATAAGTTTTGCGCGATCGCCATTAACCGTTGGCACACAAACCGAGGCGACGGATGAGGTAGCATGAAGAAATTTAAATGAAACTCGGTCGTGTAAGGATGCCCAACACTCCCTTGCATCTTCCATCATGCTTCTCTCGTCTCCGTAGCAAGACAGGAAAGAAAACACCTGAAAAACTACATAGGATGCCAACGCTATAGCAGCATATGAACTGTTCCAACTTGAGAAGTAAAAGGAAACATGGACATTTAGCAAAAGTTATACTTCAGCTCTGAAAAATAGAAAACATTCAAATATTCACAGTGGCAAGTGGAGAAATAGTAGACCAATCCGGCAGGTCCGCTGATTCCTGCTCCAAAAGGGCTAGTAATCCAGTTGTCACTATGGTAATTGCTTGAGACAAGACTAGATCACTTCTTAGTTGGATATGAAAAAAGAGTTGACAGTCACTGGACCTTTGGAGCGCCAAAACCAAGCCTGTAAACGTAAATATTTCATCAGATCTATTTCACATAAGTGTATCTGAGCAATAAATTCGTAAAGAATCTAAAATGAGCACCTAAAAGTTGAGCATCAAGAAGACTTTCCGTCAACTGCAACATTGCGTCAAGAACCGAATTAAAAGTCTGTCTTGCATTCTTCATGTACTCTTTCCTGGAATCCTGAAAAGTATTTTAAACTGTGTTGTTTTAAATTAAGACTTAACCAATCACGAAACAAGTGTGATATATTTTTGTAGAAAGTCCTGAGATCAGTTATAACTGTCTCGAAAAATCCAGAAAAGGATTTAGTGTCAATCATTATTGAAGAAATTATCACTTCATTATTGGGTACAGAATCGATAACTGCCATTTTCGTATTCAAACTGATTAGAAAAGCTTCTATGGTATCGAGCTGGCTATCCAAATCGTCTGATATAACGTTTCTTTCCTGGAACAGCGTTAAGCAGTTTACCATATGCTAAAACTAAACCAAGCTTATAACACTGCGCAAGTCGTGCAATGCAAAAACGGAAGTTTTGTGAAAAAGAATTTTTAATGACCAGCAATAAATATGGAAATTCAACAACACTGAGCCTGGCATTTCTCTGAAATTGCTGGAATCATCTGTTTAAGTTATATTCGTTGCAGAGAATTCTAATAACGAGCTTTCTAATTTTTTTAAAAGCTTTTTGACTTTTGCTATTCCTATTCCTTTGATGTTCGTTTCACATTCACTACATCACCTATAGAGTAATGAATGTTACGCGAAGCTCAGTATTCCTTAAATTGCCACATTCTTTACGGACAGCCGATATCGTTAATGGCCTCTACACATATTGCAGATAGAGTCAAATAAAACCTTTTCAAGAGATAACCGTGTAGTGGAACTTTGAGTTTGAGACCACTGTGAGAGATAATCGATCAGTGCAGATACAACTGGGAAGGAGCTAATTAGATCAATCAAATTTTCATGAAGCTGAAAACCAGTAATACACTGCTCATAATTTATGAAAAATAATTGTTTTTTAAAAAGATGAATATCACTGTGAAGTCTGTTAAAGTGTGATATTTACAAACAAATATAAAAATCAGCCTAACATATTTTCTGTTTTGCATCAAGAATACGTACTTGTTTTATATCGGCCATTAATTGTATACCAGTTTTATCTACTTTACCAAAGTCTGCAATATGCCATTCAGTTTCGATCTTCCTTGACAATTCACCGATCTTGCACTTCGCTGCTTGCAAAACTCGACGTCTACGATAAAACCGACAATCGAGGATATGATCGACTTGTTTTGGATTGTTCACTGAACTAAAGAGCGAGACGCGTTGTTTTGCTAAGCCACCATGCTAAAAAAACACTATTGAAAGTACGATAATAGCTTCAATAGGCTCTTACAATGTTAGTAGTTCTTACCGCGAAACGAAGAGGAATGGCACTGGCAGTGCCAACAGTGAGGTAACTATAGGAATGTCCCTCAACAGAAAACCGCTGCAGATGCAAATTAGTAGGCACGGATGCGAAGGCAACGCGGAACTTCTCCATGGAGGAACGAAAAGAGGGTCCTGCGTAAGATTCAAGGAATTCCAACGAATTCATAAAGATCTCTTGATTGATCGACAAATTCCTACAAAAGAAAATTATATGAGGACTGCAACATTCAACAGGAAATGCAAATGTAGAAGAAAGTAAAATAAGTTAAGTATCAAAAACAATCTCCTTAAAGATGGGATTAATTAGAGCTTACCTAAGACAGTCGTGAACTGAGTCCAGAAACTCGTTAGGTACACACCACAAACGGCTTTTCAACTGTTCACTCATTTCATTACACCACTTTAGGTATAATTTAATCAGCTGTATAGGTAATGTTGTACATAACTTACTTTCCCACATCACTTCTTCGCATACGATTTTTCGAGAATGCAGACTAACATTCTAAACAGTTTGTATTATCCTGCTAATCATTACGTATGTGAAAATGGAAAGAGTTAAATGAAATGACAGTAAAAAGCCATCAAGGTAAATGACCAGATAATCATTCGGTGCAATGTATCAAGTGATGACAGAACCGCACCTCAGAAACAAATGTGAAGGAAGTTTACGACAGAACAATAAGTAATGGAGTGGAAATGACATACCTGAGATATAGAAAATTTGTAAGTCTTCCTCACAGGATTGGTCAGATAAAAGGAGGTCATCGAGTTGGATGCAGGAGGAGTAAAAGCACTAACGGTACAAGTATTAAAGAAATTATCAGCTATTTCATCAAGCTCCGCCTGAGCCATTCTATGCGAACAGGTCGACATCTGAAGTGAATTGTTCCTTTTCCTTTAACACGAACAATAAGAGTACTTGTTTCTACTTCAGTAGTAAATTATATTAGTGGCTGATGGCAAAAATAACTACTAATCTAAGAGATATCTAAAATCATCAAAAAAGTTCTTTCCAATTACTTGGCTAGTCTATGATTTTCGATTTATTCGTTTCCTTCCATAAATAGGCCATCTAACTGTTTAATTTAATACAAGAGTAATTTCTCCTACCTTTACCATCCATTCCTCTCGCTGCTCCTCGCTCTTTGAAAAGAATGTCACTGATCCAGAGTCGAAATTTAGCATAAACGGAAATTTACCATCCTTATCCGGAAGCGTTTCCAACTGTACTTTCTCTAACACAATAATCATCGGTTCGATAGGTTCTTCTTTGCAATAGCGCACACCCAACACATTACTGCGAATCTTTAGCTAAAAAAAAATTCAGTTATGAAAGCAAAAAAACAGACCGAATAAACTGTAAGTATCCTTCTTGCATAAAATTGTACCTGGGGGTCGTTAATATGAGGTTAATGCGATCAATTATGTGGACACAACAGACGTAAAGTTGAAAGCGGTGGAAAGGGATACAAAAGCAAAAGTATTCTTATTCTTAGGAGAGATTAAGAAGCGTAAAAGGGCATCCTTTAAGAAGGATGCTCTTTTCACTACCATTATCAAAAGGATGCTCCTTTCATTACCATTATCAACTGATTTCATATATTAATTTTGGAGAATGTTAAAATCTCAAAAATTGCTTGTTACAAACCTAGAAGATACTCTCTTTCTCCCTCTCCTTTCTCTCCCTCTCTCTCTGTTTCACACAGTGCTTCCTTGTTTACATGACAGTATCTACATGACAGTAATAGCTGAAATTAGGACTGACCTCAACTTTTTTCAGTGTTCCATTGCTTTCTATTTCCATCTGATCACAGAAGTTATTTTCACTATTAGTAGAGAATAACCATTTGTAGATATCGATAGCGTTATCATCTTCCATCTACAATTAATTTGATGGAATAAAAAGTTCTTGCATAATCTCATGCACATTCATTTCAATCATTCACACCTATTTTCCATGCGAATTAAATTAAAAAGAGTTTGATGCAAAATTATCCATCGATTATTTTCTTAGCATGCATATATTTTCCATGCATTCATTGTCAATCAGTTAGAATTTTCCGCAATGATAACAACAATCACTGCGCAGTAATAGTATATGTATATATATACATGTGTATATATATGTGTGTGTGTGTGTGTGTGTATGTATGTGTATGTGTGTGCGTGTGTGTATGTATATATGTATGTGTCTGTGTGTCTCTGTGTGTGTGTGTGTGTGTTGATGTGCTGATGACTCATAGAAGGACATAAACTCTGAGAGGTCAACCAGAAAATACCGCATAAAACAGTATGAGTTATATGGTAGTATTAAAAACAACAAATCCGATGTCAGGTGACGTAATCACCCCAAAACAATTAATTACTATAAATCCGACAAACAGCACATACATCAACATTGACAATGTCGCTCGAAATATACCCGCACTTGTCGGGCAAATTAACTGGAAATACCGCATGCAGTCTAGAACATCATGAATTGAGTGGACTGTTGCAGCGTTATAGCGAGATTTTTTTGATGTGTGTTTTATCGATATGTTTTCTGTTATGGAAGCTTATCCTTACGTACGTAAACGTTATTTAGACAATTTACCATTCGAATATCGCAAGCTGAAGAGTATATGACATTACGGATTAGTTCAGTACTTATAGGTAAGACATTATGGGTAAACAATACTTGTATGTCAATGAATAAAATAGTTGATTGGTCTTTTTTTTCTTTTTTTTTTTGTAACTTGCATTTAACTTATGCAATAAAAGTTATTGTTCATCTTGGCCTAAAAATGGCAGTTAATCTACGAGAAATAAAAGCTTCATTCAAAATTAAATCTATCATTTGCAATCAATGATTATTGAGAATTGAAAATTTCTTACCATTACTAAACTAGAATGCCATAACTTTACAGTATGTTAGCATATTAGCATACATATGTTAGCATCATTGTGCAATTCCTCGTAATAGGATAATTTGTTTGGGAAGATTTTTCGATGATTTTTAGAATAACTGCAAATATCGGTACATCAGCGTAATTTCATGTTATCAGATTGTCATTTTTTCTCTTTTTTTTGCAACGCATTAATAGCTAACTAATCGATTATTTAAATTTTTGATTTTTCTTATTTTAAATTTCTATGATATCATTGAAGGAAAAAAGTGAAATATAAAAGGAACATTAAAAAATTTCACTTAATCATATCTTTCAATCTCTACGCTATTTTTCTTTAGCCAATTTGTCAACTTTTTGGTTTAAAGAATGTGACTGCAAAAACAGTTTTTGCACTTTTCATTGATATTGTAATCCTTGGCTATGATACTGTCAATCTTTCTGCTAGTTGTTCCTTTTTTAGCCACTTTATTCATTTTGAGCTATTAAAAAAAAAAAATAAAGCTATTAAAAGCTTGTCTCTGGCTAGCAGTACGAGTTCTGTTTCTTTTTTTATTCGTTTATAAATCTTTTTTCGGTTGACACAATCTGAAAATGAATTCCAACCAGACGTTTCTTTTTCTTTTGTTCCTTTCTGGTGATAGCAGTATTAGCATATATTATTCGTCATTAAACT